AAAGGATCATGAAATAGAGCGTCTCAAGGATCAGTGTGCTGATTCTAATGAGCAAGCTATCCGAGCATCCAAAGCTGCTAGAACCAGCTCGGATAGCCAACTTCAAGAAATAATCGCCAAATCAGCACGCCTTGAGGCCGAATTAGCAAAACAGGCCTAGACGATCAAGGATTTGATACAAGACCTCACCAGGACTCGGTCAGAAATACGCCAAGAGCGAGAGGCCAATCGGAGACTCAACAAAAGTCTCGTTGAGCTATGCCAAAAGAAAGACGAGGCTAGCCTTCTTAAATAATAAGATAATAAAAAGGAAAAGTTAAGCGGCCGTCCCAAGTGAGAAGAATGGAGAAGAAAGCCACTCCTAATCAAGTTTTCCCCAACGGTTGATTCACCACAAGAGGACAACTAAGCCTCGGCAGATTTGGTCCTCAAAAATAAGGAAGAGGACAAATGACACCCGGTCGACTATTGCTACCACGTCCTTTCCCCCATAGGTGAAATAAAAGTTGTACCATGGAGATATGGAGAATCTTCACCAATAAAGGAGGATATCTCGAATATAGCCGGCATTGGGGACATGACTAAGTGGAAGAATCCCTTTCCCCCAGGACTTACGAAGCGCTTTGAGATAAAGGGAAAAAAATAAAAGGCAGGAAAAAAATAGAGAATCAAGGAGGAGACAGGAAAATTCTCAGTTTATAGAAATAAGCTGAAATTATTCCATTATCGATCGCTCAATCATACACCTATAAAATAACCCTATTATCTCTAATAGTGGGCACCAAACCATACAGAGAAATGCCTTTGATGAAGGTCTTGAGCGAAGCGCATGTACCTCCTCCATATCCCCGAAAAGGTTGAGAGGATGTCCTCACATTATGGCGGCGGTCACCTCACCTTCACGGAAGGAAGAAGCCTGCCCCTCGAGGATCAAACCACAACAGCCCTTGCATATTTCAATCAAGTGCAAGGTACCTCTGTGCAAAGTCCCTTGTGGATAGCAGATTCATCCTTGAGGCAGAAGGCTGTTACCCAGTGTGCACCTCGACAAGTTAACTATCCAGGGGCGATGCACGTGCCCATTACTTTATCATTAGGAGCCTTGACCAGGATCCAAAACAAGAAGTAGTGGGAGAAGTTAATTTGCTGATCAAATTGGACCATTATCTTCAACGTTGATTTTCATGTAATGGATATTACTCTGACCTTAGTTGTCTCTCAGCCAGGCCTTGGATCCATGGCCAAGCGTGCAGCTTCAATGCTCCACAAAAATCAAGTTTGCATAATGGATGACAAATTGAATACAGTGTGAAGATGATATCACGATGATGGGCGAGTCACTCAACCCCTATCAGATGCGGTTGAAGAGGCCCTTGA